CGACGCTAGGCATCTTAGACCACCCTCAAACTCTTCTCGGCAGCTGGTCTTCTCGGCCTGCCTCTTCTGTTCTTATGGGCTTCCGAAAGCGACGTTAGGCATTTTGGCCCAGCTTCAAACCCTTCCCAGCGCCTTTGGCCTACTCCTGCATCGCAGCCTTGCCTGCGTCAGGCGGGAGCCTGGGGAGGGAGCCTCTGGAACGCGCAGCCCGTGCACTGCAGCCTTAGAACTGAGCCTGTGGGACCCCCACCTCGGCAGCCCTCAAACCCTCAAACTCTTCTCGGCAGCTGGTCTTCTTGGCCTGCGGCTTCTCTTCTTCTGGCGTCCGAAAGCGAGATTAGGCACATTTTGGACCGCCCTCAAACTCTTCTCGGCAGCTGGCAGGCCTGCCTCTTCTCTTCCTATGGGCTTCCGACAGCGACGTTAGGCATTTTGGCCCGGCTTCAAACCCTTCCCAGCGCCTTTGGCCTGCTCCTGCGTCGCAGCCTTGCCTGCGTCAGGCGGGAGCCTGGGGAGGGAGCCTCTGCCACCGTGCACTGCAGCCTTAGAACTGATCTGTGGAACCTGCCAGCTCGGCCTGCGCCTCTTTTCTTTAGGGTCCTCTAGGCACCTTCAAACCCTTCCCGGCACCTTTGGCCTAGTCCTGCAACACAGCCTTGCGCGGCTCCCGTTTGCCCGGTGGTTACGTGGCTTCCGGCTGATTGGTCTATACTCTATTTCTTTCTTTCGCGCTTGCGCTCTTGCACTTGCCACGTGTTTTTCGGGCATGGTTTTCCCGCTGGCGTGTTGTGTTGGCACCGAACGCGCCCAAACAACTGTGATGACCAGACCACAGTCTGGCACGCTGGGCATGTGTGCGGATGCTGCCGCGTCTGCGTGCTAACCGTGCCTTCATTCACATAGAATTGGTTGCCGCACACGGTTCGGTGATTTATTCGCCCTGTCCTCACATTGCTCGCCACAGTTCCATTGCAAAATGGACACGCATAGACTAAGTTCTTGGCGGCAACGTGTCCGTCTTTGACACGAAAAAACTTCCCGCACACACGGCAGTGATTTACTTGGCCTGTGCGCACAGTGCTGGTCACAGACACCTCACAAAAAGGACACGCATATTGGAACATTTCCTCGGCGGCCGTGTGTCCAGCCAACTTTGCCGGCGGTGCGAGCGTCGTCTGCGCGGCTGTCGGGGTGGCTTGCGTCTCTTGTTTCGGCTTTGCCTGCGAGTTTCGTCGCGGCGGCGGCGCTTTCCTGGCTTCGCTGCTCACCGACACGTGTTTTGCACGCTTCGCTGCAGGCTCTGCCTGCGCTACTTGCGTTGTCTGTGCGCGGGGCTGGGTCTTGGTGGGCGTCGGCTGTGCTTGCTTGTCTTGTTGTGGTTCCATGTGTCTTTTGCGCGACGGCTTGGTGTCTGTTGAGACACTTTCTGCTTCAATTTCCGTCTTGCTTTGGGCCATCTGCCTTTCTTTTCTCCGGTTCGGCACCTGCGCCCGGGGAAAGAGCACCTCATCCTCGGCTTGCTTCTGTCGCACGCGGTCAGCGATCTCTTCCCGCACAAGACCTATGACTTGCTGTCTCTTTTCTTCGGCTACTTTCGTCCGCGTCGCAGCCAGGCGCCGTATGGCTCTCTGCGCGACACTTCGTGGCAACCGCTGCCCGTGGCAGCTGTAGACCCGTGCATCCGCCCGGGCAGGCCGCCCCCTGCACCGCGCACGGCTGTTCTTTGCGCGCTGCGCTGCTGCGCGCTTGGCCGCGCTGGGGACACAAGCGTTGCAACGCTGCGTTCCGTCTTGCGGTGCAGCGCGCTGCCTGGACCAGGCGCTGAAGTCATTGCGCGCCTTACGTTCCGTGCACACGGCGCAGCGCCACGCACCCTTCACTTTCATGGCGCAGTCCCTGCAGACACGTCGGTCTGCATGGCGCCCTTTCCACGCGGCCGCCCCGAATGCACTTTCCGGCTTGGCCGTACCGCACTTGTAGCACCGCTTCTGTGCCTCGCACGTCTGGCACACGCGGTAGAAAGTGCATTGGGGACGCGCGTACATTCTTGCAAAGGCGTCTTCGTGCTTCCATGCCTTGCAACTGTTGCATTGCCAGGGCGTGTTGTTGGCTGCGTAGTTGCGTACGCATTCTCTGCACACACGTGCGTCCGCGTCCCGTTTCCATTGCCCGGCGCTGTACCCGCTTCTGGGTTTGCTTTCGCGGCACTCGCGACACACTTCCTCCTCGCGGTGCCGCGTGCGCAACGTTGCCCAGTCAATGCTCTCTCCGCGCCAGGCCTGCAACAGCAAAGCTCTCCCTACGCTGCGTCCTTTCTGATAGGGTGCAGCATCGAATGGTCCTTTCTGATAGGGTGCAGCATCGAGCTTGCGGGGGCCAGCCGCGCTTTTGCTTGCACACCCTATTTGAGAGCACGTTTGTGTTTTTTGGGGACTCCTGAGAGCATGTTGCGACCGACGTCTCCAGCTCCAGCCAATCAACAAAACGGAAGATGTTTGATGGACAAAAAATCACTTGAAAAGGGGTCGGCGGCACCCGGGCGAAGCCCTTACAATTATATATATATATATATGTATACAAACAGAAGAGGCACCTCGCAACAGTTCACCTCTTCCCATAGACACACTCTTTTTGAAGTGCAAAGAATTGCAGAATTGTATACATGCTTTGCTTTGTTTTGCCCCTGTGGCACCATGTGCCTATCACTTTGTCAGAATGAATGGGCAAGGCCTGGCTTTCTAAAGCTTTCAAGCTCAGGTGGCCCAAGTGTACTTGTTCAATGTGGCCGGCATCGGTTGGCAGTTCTGAGCATGGACACGATGAAACTGGAAGTGGCTCTGCACATCTCAGTTTCAGCCCTAAGCAGCGCATCCTGAAATGCAATGAGTCCGCTCTGTACAAGGATAAAATAAGGAGCACTTTTGAGGTTGACTTTGCCAACTCAAGGACTGCCCAAATCAGATCTCTTAAACCACGAAGTCTGCCATGCTCCTGCTTGCCCTCCTCTTTTGTTGCTCCAAGAATGCCTTTCGAGCTGCAAAGGCGCACGACTCCACATCGACTACTTCTACTGCGTTGCTGGGTGCAGCGTTCAGGGAAGCGCGATGCCCTAGAAGCATAGGGAGCGTTTGTTTGATTGGTGTCTGCCGAACTGGTGCATCCCGCTCCTCCTTCCGCAAAAGGCGAGCCAGCACGGCATCCCTGGTTGCTGATGCAGCTGCTGCTGCATTGGCAGGACTAGACAAGTCCTCCGTATTCTGTAGGAATCGACCTCCAAGGAGGCGTGAGAAATTCCCAACAAAAGTTGGCCCACTCTCATCAGCGAAGTGTACTGAACGCTGGTGAGTGGAAACTTTGGTCCGCTTTTCCACTTCCTCTGGAAAGAAGTTGAGCCCACGATTCAAGGTGCTGAGGGGGCTGATGGCGAAAGGACTCACCACTGGCGTCTTGGGACTCATTGGGGTCTTCGGTGTGCGCAAGGCTTTCGGTGAAGGTGCATGTGCGACAATGCTCTCAAAGCTCTGTGAAGCCTTTGCCAGGAATCGCATGGAGACCGCCATAGCCTTGTTGCAAGTCCTTTTGAGCTGTGTCAAGTGCTGCTTCTACCGCTTCTCACTTGAGATCTTTGGCGGCAGCATTCAATGAGATAATTGGTGGTCGAAGTGCAACATTACCCACGAATCTACCGCATCAAAAGTCGCAAGGTCCCGGCAAAGAATTGTTTGCCCCAGGGCTCGATTGGCGTTACTGGCGAGGCATCTGGAGGCGGCCAGAAGGGGAAGCGCGCCTGCCGGAAAAGAATACGTTGCGTTCCATCTCACGCTTGAAAGACTGAAGGCACATGTCTGCAATCGGAACTCTGCAAATGCCTTGGCCGCTTCCCAGCCTTCCACCTTCGGATGGCCAGCTTGTTCATGAAGGGCTTGTCTGCACCCCACCTAGCATGACCAAGTTGTTCAATTGGACTCCAATGGACAGAAGCAGTGATTTATGTAATGTTGTGCAGTTCCAATGCTTGATTTGTCTCACTACACAAAGACCACAACAACGTAGGCAAATAACAAACGATTCCAAGCTGGCCAGTATGACACCATGGCTGGCTGAGGGCAAAGGAAAGTTGCCAAAATGATGTAGGTTGGAGGCCATCGCTAGTAGGTTGGAGGCCATGGCTATTGGGATGGAGGCCATTGCTGTTAGGTTCCTTTTCTTTTTCTTTTTGTCATTGATGCGCTGGGAACATCCCCAATGCTTTTCCCTCTCGGCTCACATGTCCTCTGAAATCCCCGCTGGTTCAGTGCTTCTCCCCACGCCGCCAAAACATTGTCATCATGGATTGTGTCCAAGCGACTTACCTGGTACAAGTACGAACCATTTGAGCGTCAGTTGCAGGTGCTGCATCGAAAAAGCTTTGGGAAAAAGCCAGCATGCCAGGTTCGTTCAACTGGAATGAGGACATTCAGCTAGCAGCTAGTGCACAGTTAATGTTCAGTTGTAAGCTGTTGAGATGAACTCCAACTCGACCACACCCACACTCCCTGCAAAGAGCTTCATCCCACCCTGCAGCTGTCAGGATTGCTTGCCCTTCTTTTTTCAGTGAGACAACCACCAATGCGCACAATGAGGACCACAAGCACCATGCGGTGCGGTGGAAAGCAGGATCCGGGAGCTTAGAATCTTGGCATGCAAAGACCGGTGGCAGTGCGATATTCTGTAAGGCAGACAGCGAACATACATCCCTACAAACATTGGGAGCCATCAGAAACTTCTTCATTGAACCTAGCTGTCCAGGATAGGCCTTTGAGGTCCCGGAGAGTTCACAGGAGGATGGGCAGCACACCCATCCGTGTTTTTAGAGCCAGGCGCCTTGAAAGCAGCTGTACAACTTTCTGCTCCCAGCAAAACATGGAAACAATGATGCAGTGAGAGAAACTGATGTAATTAGTCCTTTTCTGCTCCCAAGAACAAGAACTCAACTGGCTCGGAGCCTTACAAAGTGAATTTAGTACTTGCTGTGTGCATTTATATAAATATTCCATCCATCCGTCCGTCCTTCCATCCATCCATCCCTGCATACATACAGTACAGTACAGTACAGTACAAATAGTACAGTACGGTACGGTACGGTACAGTACATTACTACATTACTTACATACATACATACATACATGCATACCATTACATTACATTACATTACCTTACCTTACCTTACCTTACGTTACGTTACATTACATTGCATTGCATTACATTACATTACATTACATTACATTACATACATTACATACATAAATACATACCGTTACATACTCTTACATACCACTACAGACCATTTCATAACTTTATATACATAATATTACCTAACATTCCGTAACAACACATTACACTACAAAACATTACATTGCACTACACTACGCTACATACCGTACCATACCATTGCATTGCGATGCATTACATTACAGTACATTGCATTACATTACATACTAACATTATATGTGTATCAAGATCGTATCATTTTTGCTGTTTTGTATGTTCAAGCGCTTTTTGGATTCACCAGGTGAGGAATGGTTGAGTGTTTGACTGGGTGCAAGGGCAGCCTGGAAGCCCTTTCTAAGGCAGCTCATCTTTGATGAGATGCCTAGTTGGTGGCTTTGTGTGAGCGCAGGTTTTCTACTAGAAGAAATCTTCCCCATCTTCCAGTGAGGAAAATATGCGCAACCAATCTAAGCAATGAGTGAGGATCGTCTCAGCGCTGAGCTGACACTCCTGGCCGCCATGCCCGTCCACGGGCCCACGAGAAAAAGCAAAAAATGAAAAGTACGAGACCTTGGGAAGAAACACTTGTCAAGTGACCACTCACCAGTCAGTGGAGAGGCTCCTGAGATGGAAATGTCCACCGGATCCCGCCGGAGTGGTTGAGACGTACTTCTGCTCAGACCTTTAAACCATGATGCAAGTCATCATAATCATAAGTCAAAAGCAAAGAGAAGTAGAAGCGCGGACTCCGACTAAATCCCGATGTGATCCCACTTCACATAAATTGAAAAAGAAAGTAACATGCAGTCCAAGCAACGGCGCTGTCCCCTGTCTGGCGGAGATCGGCTGCCTCAAGGAAGTCACTTGTGGAAAGGTTCCCTCACTGACCCGGACGAACAAAATTTAGCCAAGCTTCGACCTTTCGGTGCCGAATGCACCATCGGTGGTGAACTTATTTGTGGCAAAGGCAGGGCCTCCGGAACTTCAGCTCGGAGTGTAGCGATATATATATGTCAATGACTTAATCCCACATCATGAATTGGTAAGTTGCTTTGCTACAGTATGCTTTGCCTTAGTTTGGCACGTTGCATCAACTTTATCCAGAACTACTCCACGGTTCCCCATATACAGGAACTTGAATTGTCCGACACCCCCTTCCTTGGATCCGCTGATGATCGCTGTGAAGGGTTCTGATGGAGCTGAAGCAGTCAGACTGCTCTTGCACAAGCGCTTTCCTGGCTGTTGAAGGGTTGGCTGAAATTTGAGAAAAAGGAACTTGCAGGTGTGTGGGTCTGTGTATGTTTTGTCAAGAAATCAGAAACCGTATGAAACCACAATGGTTCGTCTGCCTCTCTTTCTTGCTCGGTGTCTCTCTTTCTTGGTCTTTGTATTCCAGCTTAAGTTTCCCTAAAAATCTAGGAACCAAAGCATTAGTACGAGCGCTTCTTCAAGGAAGCTCCTCGCCACCCTCAGGCCGGGAGCTTCCTTGAAGAAGCAAGAGCTATCCTGCGTCCTACCTACAAGCTTATCTCACTTATCTCCCTTACTTAATTACGTAGACGCTTACTTAAGTAAGTAGGAGCGGGCTAAAACAAAAATAAAAAGAATGAAAAATATCAAGGCTTAAAGTCTGGCCTCCTTCCACCAGCTTGGCATCCCTTGCGCTTAGCCGCCGCTGCATCACAGGAGGTGCGCTTGGCTCCGTAGGTGTGGGTGGCACTATGACAGCCAACTGGCACGGCAGCAGAAAATTGATCTTCCACTTTTGGTCCTAGTTCCTCGCGATGTAAACTGATCAGAAGGGATTGCAGTCTGGCCACGGCCAGCATATGAATCAGAAACTACATTCATGATCATCGGCAGGTGAACCAGCCTTCACGTGCTTCATCTCAGATGTCAATTAGAAAGATTGTTTCAGGTCAAATCCCTATAGTTGCAACATATACATTTGGCATCACTTGGCTATGTAGCTCTCCCAAACCTGACACTCGGATGCGGTATCAATCCGTCATGACCGTCATGGTTGTCCCTTTGCTTCATTGCTGTCGCTTCCTCCCCACTCATCCAGCCAAGTCCAGCCTCTGGCTCCTGCAAGTCCTCAGCTACACATTAATATTGACCGCCCAAAGAAAGGCAGGACAAACTTCGTAGCGTTTGCAGCACCACACCACCCTGCTCACCGCTGCTCCGCTTTCTGCAGCCAAGTGGCCATGCTCATGGCACTCTCCAAAGTCGCCAGTTTTGGAGTCTTCGGAGTCTTTGGCGCCATCTCCTGCACACTGGTCTTCTCATTAAACTATAGACTTTATTTATATAACATATGCATATATAATATAAATATATATATATATACACTCATGGCTGACGGCATAGGAATTTGCTGGGCTAATGGCATTGGGTTTCGGGGCCACAGCGTTTAGGTCATCAGAGCTGTGGATGTTCTGCCAGTACATGACTCCAAAAAAGTATAACAAAAATAACGTGCCCAAAGGAAGAATATGACTGTTTCAAGCTTCATGACTTAGGCGCGCTCCCTAAGTGTTTCCCACCGCCTGAGCTATGTTTGAGTCTGGGAGGAGTGCCCAGATGCAGTTGGCGACTTGAGACCATCCGGGTTTGCACCCTCCGGGTTTGCACCATCCGCCGTTCCAAAAGGAGGTTCGTGGACATCACTGTGGGGGACCGGTCTCTTCTACTCACCAGGTGATCGACATCAGGCCTCACCATCAGGCCTTTCTTTGAAAACACTTTCACATTTCAGAGACTTGCTGGTCCAATTCAATTTCCTTTCTTTCCTGGGCACTCATCATAGGTTGTCGCCCTGTTTGAACAAGCGCTTTCCTATCCCATCACCTAGTTGCCACATGCTATGTTGGTGGCATACTCCTAGGTCATGTGTGGTTTAATGTCAAAAACCTCCTCAAACCATGCAATCTCAAATATTTATGTGACAACATAATTGTGTGTGAGGCTCATTTTTGTATGTTTTGACCTGATGAGATAGGAGCTGTGGCATATTGGCTATTGCATGATGACATAGGCTTTTTGTTCCCACCATGATTTCACAGCTCCTATCTCATTTCCCCAGAGTATCTATAGCCTATTTACCCGTGTCACATAAGTGACAGCTACAGGGAATGTCTCCCTTTGCAAAGAGGCCTGGGACACACCATCAAAAAAGTCCATCGACTCCTTCACAGTAGCACTGGGTGAAGGCAGGCCAGAAACAGCCCCTTTGGGCGTCATGTCCATCCTGCCGCTCTGGGGGGGTCATGTCCCCAAAGCGCCTCAATCGGTTCATAAATGCCGTGCTCTGGCACATCTTTACACTTTTACAAATGTAGACGCAAACCATGTGGGATGTCATGTTTAGAAATGGTCGAGTCACATTTATATAATGTGCTTACACTGGAGCCATGGAAATAATTAAGAACCTTGACACAACCAATAAGCTACCATGAAAATTATATATAACTTTTGGATAACCATTTCCAGGCATTGCTTGCACGTCGACTGAGGCAGGCACATCATCGGCGTGTCAGGGCCCTTTGGTGACACCAATGGCTCGAAGCGTTGCAACTGGCAATGCCTGTTGTACCTTGGCAGGACTTCATTGAGAAGTTACATCAGACGAGCTCTCTGAAGAGACATCAAATCTCGTGATGGCAAAAAGGAACTGGGTCTACTGTCTACAGCATTCCAGGTCCGTTGCAGTCTGTAGGGCAATCTAAGCCTGTCATGTCCAGCTTCCCTTTTCTGACTGCTGAGACACTGATCGACCTCACTGACCACTGCGAAGGGTTTGCGGTCCTGCTGCACGCGGTTTTGAAAAGAGCCTGACTGGCACTAAATGCCACCCGGCCCCATTAACCTACGCAAGGCCTCT